GATTGTGACTGAGAGACAGAGGTACCTGTTCAATGTCACACAGCAGGTTAGTGGCAGACCAGGCCTGTGTACACACCCTGATGTCCTGAACTGAGTAATGGGATGACAAGGGTGTACAAGCTAGGCCCCAGTGCTCTACTGTTAGATGCCTCAGGCCCAGAGGTTGGAGCAGTAAAGTGGTGGGTCTTCTCCCCATTGTGTCGCTGCAGCCCCATCCTGCCGTGCATCCCACACCCTCTAGTGCTTATCACAGAGAAGTAACTTTGGGAACCCTGAGCACGCATGTGAGGTGCCCGAGGGACAGGAACTCACAGCCTCTCGGGGACATACCATGGGCTTTCTCAGGACTATAACCATCCTTGACCACTGAACCCATTAGCCTTGACACCTGAGTGACAGGGCTGTCCTCCATGTTCTGAGATAATCTGGCAACTTTACTCAGTCACATTTGCTGACCTCCAGCCTGATGTGGCTTCTCAAGGTAGAGATGTGCAGGGAGTAGTCTGAGAAGTCTAGAGCAAGGGATGGGGGTTGGCAGGGCTATGGTAGGTCTGTGTGTTGGCTGTGGGCATAATCTTGAGCTTCAAAGCTAAGCAGTCTGTCAGAAGGTAGATGTTGCAGACAGGTCTGGCCTGAGCTATATTGTGGTTGCAGCTTAATACCTAATTGTATTCCAGAACAATAGATCTTTTATCTTTCCTGGTTTGGCGAAGGACCTCATGGTCTGAGAGGTTTGAATGGTAGGAGGATGTCACCTCCAATAAACTCTTCAAATCAGGGTTAGGATTTGAATTGAGGGTGAGGGGTCCGAAGTTGGTAGCTCAGTGTGGCAGTACCTCAGGACCAGGGCAGCTGGTGGATTCACCAAGGCAGTGCCCCATGCTCTGGGGTGGGGCCAATAGTAGTCAGCAAGGGTGCTTTATGCCAAGGGGGCTCTGAAGGGTGTTGTGGGAGATTTTGCAGGTGAGGGGCTTTACTTTGAAGTTGGAGAGCTATTTTCTGGTCTAGAAGAAGCTGGGGGTTTAGAGATGTCCCTGGTCCCTGTAGGGCCCCCTACCTGGTCCAAGTTCCCCACTATGCCCAGCCATCTGTGAGTAGGCTGCAAGCCCCCATTCCTCTAAGCCATTTACCAGGTCTGACCTTCTGTGGTCACATCAGCCCTCAGCAAGGGGCAGGGGAGGGGGTGGAGAATGAGATTTAGAGCCCCCAAGAGCAGTAGTAGAGACCACACAAGGGAGGGGCTTGAGCCTTAAGTCTTGGCTCTTGGATCCAGGGATGGCTGGGTGCTGAGTGAAGCTGGGGGTGGGGGGATCGAGGAAAGGTTCTGATTCGAGTTCTGAAGGACACAGGGAGAAGAGGGCTAGTAACAAGCTGCATAGATTGATGGAGCCCTTCCTTTGTCCACTTTGCACCAGAGGGGCAGCAGAGAAGCTGATGAGGAGGGGCTCCTGCTCACCCTCACCCTCTTAGGCCTCTCCTCCTGAGAGACTCCTGTCTCTCCAGGTCAGAAGTCCCGGTAATGGGGCCATCAGCCCCAGCCCCCTGCCCCTTCCGGTCTGTCATGGGCCCCAGGAGACTGGACTCTTCGTGACTCTCACCAGCATTTACATACACCAGCTTTATTGAAGTAGCAGGTGCTGTTAAATCAGCTACAGAAATATTTCCTCAGGCACACCCCTGCCCCCATTACCCACCCACAGTCTCATCAGCCAGCCCAGGGCCAGCGAACTCCCACCTTGGCTATAAATTGTTCCCAAGGCTCCTCCAGTCCTATTTCTTACAGCTCTAACCAGGCTCCAGTGAGAGGATAGGGTCTCAGAGGCTGTTCTTGATGGTTTTACAGGATTTCCATCCTTCTATGGATATGACAACACTCTGTAAGGCTTCCTTAAACTGTGAGAAGTTACTTTCCTCAGTAGTACAGTTCTTGGGTGATTTTGTTGGCTAAATAAGAAAGACATATTTAAGTCATATTTTTAGCAGAAAAAAATAAAAGCACACTCTCTTCTATAAGCCACAAGGGTCCTATAATAAGCCCTCCACTGCCTAGGAGATAACTTTGGCAGGCCCTCCCCATCTATCTTAGGGACACACTGGGGGCCATCTGGTGATAGTGGAGTACAGGGTCTGAGGCCCACCTGCAGCCGTGGGGTGAGAGCCAGCAAAATGTGGGCAGGTCCCACAGCAGTCCAGGACAGGGACACAAGGACAAGCAGGGTGGGAGCACACAGGGGCCTCTGTAAGCAGGGGGCACACACGGGAATACCTCCGTCATTTCCCAAGAACATACCCCCCTAAACCACTATCCATCCATACATAGTGGATTCCCAGTGAGGTTTATCAGCCCAGAAAGAGCCCCGGGCATGGCATGGCAAACCAAAACTCCCTTGGACTGGCTGCCCAGCTGGGGTTGGCACTGAGCAGCCCTTCCCGCTCCCCAGGCTGATTACACAACAGCCCTGCTCTGAACTCAGACCTGCTCCACACTGACCCCTGTGCATGGGGGCTTGGCAGAGGGCATCACAGAAACCTCTGAAACAACCGCTAAATCCCCACCCTCCCAACCCCTAGCTCCTGTCAGTGAGTGCACTTTTTTGGGATCAGAAAGTAGTATGTAAGGCCTCACATGTGGCAAGTGGGGGCCATAAGAAGCCCTTTGTCCCACTGGGTCCCTGGCTATGGTAGCCTAACTATCCTCTAAGAGCAAACAGTAACTTACTTTCAGCTTTGGGCAGATTCTGGTGAGTTCTTCCATGTCCTTATAAACCTTTTTTATGTGAAGGTCATACTTGTAAGATTTCGTAAGTTCCTTCAGGGTGGAGATGAAGTCTTTTGTAAACTCACCATAGCAGGGCTCCTGAAACGGGGTGAAGGGCAGGGGGTTGGTGGTAGTGTACAGTTGAGCCCCAGCCTTCCAGCCCTGGTCACCCTGGCTAGATGGAGCTCTGAACTCAAATTCAGGCCCTACCCTGATTGCCCCACAGGTGTCCCACAGGTGCTATGGTGTCTGGTCTCTCCCTAGGCCCAGGGCTAATCTGGGAAAAGCCTAGAACCTGGCCACTGATTCATCTGTTGACTGAGCTAGAGGACCCAAACTCAAACTCTTTTTCTCCCCGGATTCCTCACTCCAGTGTCTTTTGTTCTTATCTCTGTGATGGGTACTGACTGGGGTGATGATCCCTTTCAAATGTGGTCAGAAAGGTCCATGTGGCAATAGCACCTTACCTCACTGGTGTTCTGGGGCCTTTTGAAGGAACCCTGAAAGCAGGAGAAATCGATCAGAAACACAAAGGGCCACTGAGAGCAAAGTGATGTTTGATGAAGACCCAGACTTACGTTGTATATAATGTTGTCAGCCGAAAGTTCTTTCTGAATTTCAGCACAGACTGCCGTGTGATTATCGTAGGCAGACACGTTGGCTGTCATCATGGAGGCGCAATGGTTTTCTGATCCCCAGAGTGCACAAGCCAGGAACACGTACAGGTACATGGTAGGACTGGAAGGTAGCTCCACGCTGATCTGAGCCCTGAGCTTGGCAGCATTTCTGTGGAGAAGTGTACCTATATAAGTGAGTCTAAGGAAATGCTAAGTCTCTTATCAGTCATCACTGGCTTACGTGGAAGACAGAGAGGACCTTATCGCTGGGCAAAATGTGCTTTTCATGCATTTTCTATGACCACAGCACACTTCATGGATTCTTGTCTTTGCTGAAAATCACGCTTGCTCTAATAATTTTTATTTGTAATCAAATTTTGAGTCATGACCTCTCTGCCTGCCTGTTGGGACAGGTCTGTGACCAGGACCGGTGCTGTCTACAGGTGCAGGCCAGAGCAGAGAGAGTGAGTGGGGTGGAGAAAGAGCAAGACGGGCACCAGCTGCACCAAGCCAGCTTCCTCAGGCCCACCTGTCAAGGAGAAAGCTGGTCTTGCTGTCCTGTCTGCCTGACACTTGAGGACACACCCACTTCCTCATAGTCCCCAGGAGGGACACAGGGGAACAGGTTCCCGAACACAGCCTCCAACCTGGCAGGCAAAGCAAGTGAAGAACAGAGCACTGCTATTTCTTGGCCTGAAGGCCTTGGGTTTTAGAGGAACGCCCCTGGTTGGATGCAAAACTTCATGTAAAAAGAAAAGCCAGCTCACAAAAATGCCACACTAGAGCCATGTCCTGATAAATTCTGAATATACATTCTGACTCTCACAGATTAGGATCACCCATTTGGGGGAAAGTTTGGTAAATATTCTGGGCCCTGACCCTGTGGTTTGTTTTTTTTGTTTCCCCCTGAACAGGTAATCTATCTACTGGTTCCCCTTGGGAGTGGCTGAGGCCCTGAGTGTGAGGGTCAGGGTGTGGCCACAGGGCCAAGCCTCTGAGGGGCACAGGTGTTTTGCCTCACTCTAGGGCAGGCCCATTCAGCCAGTGACCAGCCAAGCTCCAGGAACTCCCAAGCCTTCTCAGGAAGTAGGATGGCCTCATACCGGAGCAAAGTTCCCACTGACCAGGTGCCTTGAACTTCCAAGGGAAGCTAAAAACCTCTTTCTACAGTGGGAGCCCTTGAGTAGCCAGCGAAGCATATCTGGGTGTGCAGGTGCAGCACCTAGGCCAACTCTTACCTCCCCTCTGCTCTGTCAGGGCTGCCCCTGCTGGAGCATCCTGCCCCGTCCCCAACCTGGTGGCTCCTCTTCCCCTCACCCCTTGCCCTGTGGGGAGGAGCACACCATCAGCATTTGCTCATGGTCAAGAACAAACTGGAAACTACACAAATAAGAATGGGCTTTTAATAATTTATTATTATGGCAAAACATCTTGAATAAATAGAGAGTATGATCTTAAATAAATAAATAAATAAATATTAAAATACATAAATATATAAATAAATATTACTGATCCCTGCCAATGTAAAACGTTCCCCATTCCCCATATACCAAGCTGGTAACAAGGGCAGCATGGCCCAGAGCAAGTCCGTGCCCCCCACCCTGGCCCTGGCCCTGGCCCTGGCCCTGGCCCGCCCTGTGGTCCCTCGAAGGTGAAGATCCTGAGTTTCAGCAGTCCGTGGGTAGGAGTGCAGTGGTTCGGGAACTACACTCTCAGGGCTGGCTCCTGGTTGGACCGGCCTCTGTTGCTTCTGGCTGCCAGCAGTCAAAGGGGATGTTAAACAGAAATTCCTTCAGGTTTTCTTTGAAACTTCTGAAGGTGATAGTCTGGATTGCACAGGGAGTTTCCTTAAAAACAAAACAAAACAAAACTTTTAAGTTCAGGTGTGAACAGGTAATGTGTGGGAAGCACCAGTGTGTTTCTGCACTGTCTTCTGGAACTCAGAGGCCAGAAGGCCCATTTGGAGCCTGCCTGCTGACCTGGGTCAGATGACAAGCTTGCCACCACGTGTCACCCAAAGGATGCACAACTTTGCCAGTGGCAGCCACGGCCAAGAGCCTGACAACACGCCAGCCCGAAGCTGGTCTGCTGGGCTGGGCGGTTGGGCCGGTGTCTCTTCATTCTCGGGCCAGCAACCCAGAAGGGGCAGGAGTCCAATCTGAGTGTGACCCCCTCCTTGCTCCCCTGCAATTAGGCACCTCACAAGGGGCCATGGAGGTGGCACTTGGGCCCCGGAATATACCCTAGACCTTAGGCAGGACCTGAGTTTCCTTGGGTTTACCTCACCTCTGACCTCACTGATGATAATAAGGACAGAAGCAGATCCCTCTGGGGAGTGTATAGGCCCCTGGAGCTCCATGGCTTTAACTCCTAGAGGTGAAAATGGGCAGGGCTGCTCAATCTCTAGAGGGGCAAATCTGTTAACACAGAACCCCTTTGGAGTCCTGAATAGCTACAGCCAAAGGTCCCTCCTTATCCACTCCTCCACCGTTCTAGACCAAGACCTTCCAGCTTGGGACCCTGACGTGGGCACTCACCGGGGTTTCGAGGCAGTGCTGCTTGTAGTGGTTGGCCATCAGGGTTAAGGGTTGCTTGAGGCTGATGAGGCTGCCCCGCAGGCCTTCACTGTACAGCTGTAGGCGCGTCTGCAGGCATGTCGGCTCCTGTGGGAAATGTCCGTTTCCTGGTAAGTAGTGGACAAGTGCCCTCTGGTGGGCACATGACACCCTCCCCGTCACTCTTTCCTGTTCTCAGCCCTGTCCCCCAAGAGTAGGACTTGGGAGGGGCACAGGATGATGCCGGGTTCAGTCATACACACTGCTCTGTCCGTGCCAACATGAATCTGCACCATTCAGCTCAGGCCACCCCCAGCCAGCACAGCCACTTTCCCTGGCATCTTGAGAGGGTCCCAGGCCCCAGAAAAGGAGGTCACTAACCCCCACCATTCAGGGAGAAGGTAGCAGGGTGGGGCATCCTGCTATGTGAACAAAGCTTGTTCCTGAAATCTCTCTGTGCCCCTCTGTAGCCAGCATGCTGTCTCCACAGGGCTTAGTCTCATGAGTGCCTTAAGCCCACAGCCCCTGTGTCCTGCAGTAACTCCCGCCTACCCACCTGTCCCCTGGTGACCCCTGGCCCCTTGAATGCTAGGTCTGTCCGTGGCTGCTCAGCTAATGGAGTTCACGTGAATGCCACAGGGGCAAGGCCGGTGGCCTCCTGAGAGCCCCTCCTGGCAGCCAGCTGACTGGAGTGAAAGTGGACTGACCACCCTGTGAGAGTCCCTCTGAAATGGAGCCACCCCCAAGGTAGAGGGGAAGGTGTGTTGGAGAGAAACATCTTACCTGGCGGTCAAACATTCCAGAGACGACTTTTACTGGTTCATTCTGTAGAAAAGAAAAATACCATTTTATTAAGCTGACAGGCAGGGCCAGTCCAGGCCAGCAAAGTGGCCCAGGGACAGCCTGCACTCCCTCACTCACCATCACAGCAGTCTCATCACTACTTTTGTTCAGAAGGCTCAGGGCCTCTTGGATGGCATCCACGTGCCGAGAGGGTCGAGTGACAGGTCTGGGTAAGCTGGTGGGTGCAGAGATGCTGCAGACCACAGTGCCCAGGAAAAGCAGGTTCTGCAGCCACATCCTCCTGAGGACTTTAGCCTTTCTCTCTGAGCACTGGGCTCACTGGCAAAAGAGCTCTTATATACACAGTTAGAGGAAATGATTAATGGTGACCACAAAACGCCAGGGAGGCGGGGGAACTACCTGACCTGTGGAATCTCCTGGCCCTTATCACACATGGGAACGGTGAGCCTTTCCTCCAGGTGGTCAGGCTCAGGGGTTTTCATTAATGAGCCCTTCCAAGAATTGGCAGCGCATCCGCCTGCCTCCTTGAGCACTCTCCAACCCTCCCTGGGTAGTCTGGCCAATGAGACTGCCCCCTCCCTCTGAGGGGCCTCCGGGCACAGCTTGGACTTCCTGGCCTGGAGTGGCCAGGGCGGGGCCTGGGAGATACTGAATTGAGCTCCTACGCCCAGACTCTCCACCCTGCCTCCAATCCCAAGAAGCCTTTGGGGTGGCTGTGCCCACCCTGGGGCCTATTTCAACCAACCCTCCCCTTTTCCTCCTAGATCCCTCTCCTCTGGCTGTAGTGAGAGATCTGAGTGGGAGGAAGACCCTCATGGGCCTGCATCACTGTCCATCCAGGCAGAATCCAGCCAAATGGCATAGTTCCTGGGACAGCTCCCAGCAAGGATCCAGAGTAGTCAGCAAGCTCTGCCCAGCCAGGGACCTCTGCCCCACAGCCCCTGTGAGCAGGGAGAATGACAGATGTGTTCACATGACACCCATCCAGCAAGATAGCAGAGTGTTCCTTCATGGTAAGATCCCATGTGACAGCAACAGTCCCAGTTTTCACAGCTGCGTTCAACCCCCAAGCTGCAGATCCCAAGCTGGGGCTCTGAGTTCAAGTTCTGACTCCAGTACCACCTTGCTAAGTGACTCTAGGCTCTGAGCTATGTGAGCCTCACCTCCTTCTGCATGCTGACTGTCGTCTGAGATAGGCACTGCGTTCCTACACGTAGTCCCTGGCAGGGGTCAGGGTACAGCAGCTTCTCAAACTTTAGTTTTTACTTGGCCCCTACCTCAGCTCACCTCCAGCTCCAGAGGCCTCTCTGTGGAACAGGAACTGCTTCTGAAAAAGCCACAGGCTCTTGAGGGGCTGACAAGTGTTTGATTTTCACAATGAAGTTTGGAGAGGACAGCACGAGTTTATGTTTGCTGCCCCATGCTCGGAGTTTTATGGCTGTAGAGGTGTGGGTGCCTATGTGTACATTTCTGAGTGTCTGTGTGCTGGCGTGATTGGATGTTTTACATGAAGTATACCCATGTGAGCCCCCATGCCTCTGCAGGTGGCCCTCTGAAATGGAGAAGCTCCCCACACTGGGTGTGAGGTTTTTGGCCCCAGATAGAGTCTAGTTTGATGGGGTAGGACACAAGTGATGTCTGCTGGGCTCAAGTAGACAGCCCTCGACAGCAGGTAGAATTCACGCTCTAAGTACTGTGGTCTGAGCCTGTGGCCCTGGCAGGTTTCACTGGATGGCAGAAGGGTTGCTGCCCTTGCACAGGGATGGCAGACATTAGTTCTCCAGGCCCCACTGGGGCCCAAACATGATGCCGTTCCTGCCCTTCTGACCCTGGTGGAACATTTCTAGGTGGCCAGGCTGGGGTGAGAGTATGGCATGTCCAGGCGCTGATCCTTCTCGCTTTTCCGTAAGGGCCCTGCTCAGTCCCTTCCAGGGAGCTCTTAGGAGGCACAGGAGAGGTCAAGAACACTAGATGCAGATGTCTCAGAGTGGAGGTCTGTGTCAGACCGGGTTCTGGAACCTGGGTGGTGGAGAGTGGGGGCCACAGGCAGTGTCTAAGCTGGTATAGAAGGAGGCACAGAGCTGGTGTGGCCCCTCTGAGATGGAACATGACTTTTCTTTTGGAAATGAGTTGTCACAGCTCAGACAGTCAACAGACTCTTCAGATCTGTACCAGGCCCTGTGCTGGGGAGGAAGTGGATGGGACCCTTCCAGTGGCCCTCACATCTGGCCCCGGAGGCTCTCAGCCTGGTAGAGGAGACAGACAGCACTGGATCCTCCCATTGTGTGGATCCTGGCTGGGACGGGGGAAGTTCAGAGCTGTGGGATCCCAAGAAAACACTTCTCTCAGTTTGGGGGCTCACAGAGGATCAAAAAGCTTCCTGGGCTGAAAGGGCAAATCATGTCAGGTGGGCAAGTCAGATTGTGGGAGGGAGAGAGAAGAGAGCCTAGTGGAAGAGTATTTGGGGAGCAAAGAGACAAACTTTTAGAAGCAGGTATGGGGAAGAGGAGGCAGATTCTAGAGAGATTTAGGAGGTAGAATTATTCAGAACTCGATGATATAATGGAGTAATTCAGTCATTCATTCATTTTTATTGAGCACCTACTAGGTTCCCAGCAGGGGAGGAGGATACAGGGATGGTGGAAAACTGGGCCCTGCCTTTGTGTACTCCATAGCCCCATGGATGGAGAAGCAGGATTAATACACTCAACACCCTTTCCAGAAGGTGCTTTTGAATGTAAGTAGGAACAGTTAAAAGCACTGTCGAGGTGTCTAAGATGGGGTCCTAGGGATGAAGGAGGAGGTTTGCACTGTCTCAGGACCCACATTAAGAGACAGTGTTTTGGAGGCTGCTTGGGCAGGAGACCTGGATGTGGACAGGCACCCAAGTCACCGTGCGAAGGACAGAGTTCCTGGGTTTGGCTATGAGACTCATGGGCAGCCACACATCTTTCTTCTGGAAAGATGACATCAAGGCTGAGGCCATGACATGGACAAGCATTCCTAGATTGCACTGCATGGAAAGTGGTAGCAATAACATCGAGTGTGTGTGCTGACTCAGGGGCCCCGGATGGGACTGTGGGAGGGTGAGGGCAGGGACCGTTGTGGGCAGTGTGACTCCTCTTGGCCCCGCCTTCCCACAGGGCCAGGAGAAAACCCTCTGGAAGGGGTTTCCTGTGAGTGTCCTCCCACAGGCTGTGGAGGAAACTGGGGCTTGTGGCTACTCCGAGCTCCTTATCGCAGAGGAAGTTATCATGATGGGAAGGAAGTGGGCCTCCTTGTGCTTTACATCCAGTGGGATCTCTACATGGGCATCTCAGCTGATCTCACCCTCCCTGGGCCAGCCAGCCCTTGTTGTAGGAGTCCAGGAGACCCGCAGCCTGCCTAGCTCACACAGTCAGTGATGGCAGGCACAGGATTTGAACCCGTATCTGTTCCTGTTCCCCTGACTTCTTCTACTATCTCATGGATAAGAAAGTCAGGAAATTCTGTTCACCTAGACCAGCATAGGGATGTTCCCCCTCAGGGCAGCTGTTAAGGGACATTCCTCCAAGTGTTGGCAGGGATGCTGGAATGGCCTGGAATGTTCCAGGGAAGACCTGGGGCCAAGGGCAGAATTTCCCCAACAGAGCCTGCCATCCAGGTACCCCTGTGTTTCAGGTTTGGGTTCTCCACCACTGATCCCTGGGTTGTCCAAGAGCATCCCTCTCTCTAAGCCTTGGCTCCTTTATCTCTACAATGGGTTTAATTATTGTTGCATCACAGAGGAAACTGTTGCCTATCCAGAAACTTTGTGGGGGTAACCCTCCCAGGGAGGAGGCAGTGCTTCAACCTTTTTTCTCCTCTTCCCACCATTTTGGGAGGTTTCTGAAGCCCGAAATGAGCAGAGGATTCAGCCTTGTTGGAATTTGCAGGGACAGTTGCCCCTTGTCCAGCTCTAGCCCCTGACAGCATCTTTCTGGACAGATATAGTGAGTTAGAAAGCCCAGCCTTCACCCAGACTCAGGGTTCAAAGGGTCCTGTATCCTGCTTAAGAGACCCTGGCGCAGGGACGGCCCTCTGAGTGGTTCATTCTTCCCTGGGAAGGGATCCTTATCACTCCAGGCCGCACCAGCCACATGAAGCAACCTCCTTGACCTTTGTGGTCACAGCTCCAGGCAGACCCCTCCTGCATCTCCTCTGTCTAGGTCCCCACGGGGATAGCTCAAAAAGACCCAGCCTGTCCAAGCCCATCCCAGTTCTTATCCTGCTTTTTGGGTGTCCCCAGTCCCTGCCACTGGTGTATCCTGACTGGTCTAAGAGGATCTGAGGGTTGTTAACCATTAACCATTTGTGGACTCTTGATTCCATACAGCCAAGCTTGTAAGAGGGCCCAACACATTGGCCAACCTCACAGCCGCTGCACTCAGAGCTCATGATTGGGGGTCATGTTAGGCAGGGAGCAGGGAGGGTGATGCCCAGACTCAAAGACGTAGTGTTGAGAAGGCATCAACCACCACATGCACAGAAAGTGAGGTGACACAGGAGGGGGCAGTCAAGAAGTAGGAGTGAAAACAGTTAAGGACTTGAGGGGACTGGTTGCATGTGTGGGTTTGGGGCAGAAGGTGAGTGAGGAGTCTGGCACTCAGGCATCTGGCTGAGGCCAGAGGGTGGACAGGCTATTTGCCGCAATGGGAGAGACCGAAGGTATCAGAGAAGTTTGGGGAGTTGGGCTAGACTGGACTGGATGTGGCAAGTTTAAGAGGCCAGGGACCTCCAGGAAGACTCTGTCAGTTGTGGCTACAAGGGCCCGGAGGTCAAGGAGAGGTCAGAATTCAAGACACTTGGAAGTCATTGGCGAAGAGGAAGTTCTCCTCCCACAGGGCTGCATAGTGCACTTGGGTAGTGCTCAGGGGTCCCAGCTTGAAGGCTGGGCCAGGAATGATGACAAGGCCTTTATTGCTTCATTCCTTGGTTTTTGGGGCTTCCTTGGTATTTCCTCAGGACCCAGCAACTGCACGCTCAGGGCAGTGACACCCCATGGGTGGGTACCCCAGGCATGCCCATGATGCCTCCCTCCCAGAGTATTTTCTCCAGAGCTGAAGTGCGTCCTCTGCCTGTGAATCTCTGAACCTCTGTCCCCTGGCCTCATCCCTAACCAGGAGTGTTAGCAGGTATCCAGAAGGAGCCACTTCCTTTATTTGCCTCCTTGGGCAAGAGCCATTGGGTACTGCATTAAAAATGAAAAGGAAGAAAAGCCCTTAGACCAGAAGCCTTTACAACTTCCCCATGTCCTCTTGTACCCC